CAAGTATCTTTCTTCATGCTTGTTGGCTATTTGTATATTATCTTTGGAGAAATGTCTAAGCCACTCATACATTTAGAAAATTATTTATTCTTCTTTCTTATATTACATTCTGACTGTAATTTCTCCTCTCTCCCCCACCTCCTCTCTCTCTGATCCACTCCTCCTTCATTTCCTTCAGAAAAGGACAGGCTTCCCAGGGGTATCAACCCAACATGGCCTATCAAGTTGCAGTAAGAGTAGGCACATCCCCTCATATTAAGACTTTGTTTGTTTTTGTTTTTGAGATAGAGTTTCTTTGTATGGAAGGGTTTCCTGGCTGTCCTGGAACTCACTCAGTAGATCAGGCTGGCCTCTAACTCAGAGATCCACCTGCCTCTGCTTCCTGAGTGCTGGAATTAAAAGCGTGTGTCACCATTGTTCGACCGTTTGTCTATTTTTGAATCAGGTCATTTTTGCTAAATTGTTGAGTTATTAGGACTTCTTTAAATACTGTGCAAATGAAAATTTATCACATATAAAGTTTTCAAACATTCCCCTCTGTTGATTCTTGCAAAGCTTAGATCTTTAGTTTTGTTTTGCTCTAATTTATCTAGTTTTTCTTGTCTTCCTTTTTTGCCATATTTTTCTTGTATTACCCATGAAATCATTGCCACACCTGACATTCTGAGGAACTTTTGAGCTTTTCAAAAGCTTAGTTTGCTATGATTAAGTCTTTGATCTGCCTTGAAGCAATTTTTCTGTATGGTGTAAGGTAAGAATCCAACGCTAATATTTTACGTGGATTCTCAGCCTCTTAATCTCTTGCTTCTAATTCTACATATCCAGGCAACTAATGTGTCTTATATTGTTCTGTATCAGTGGCTCTCAACCTTCCCAATGCTAAGACCCTTTAGTACAGCTCCTCATGATGTGATGGCCCCCCATCATAAAATTATTTCATTGCTACTTCATAACTGCAATTTTGCTACAGTTATGAATCATAGTGTAAATATCTGATACTCAGGATATCTGATTTTTGGCCCCTAGAAGGGTCATGACCCACAGGTTGAGAATCACTGCTCTATATTAATTTTCATTTTTTAAGAAATTGTATTAGTAGTTTTAGATCATCAATGCTGTTCCAGGACAGGGATCAGCCATACCTTGTCTAGAACCTTCTCTCAGCTGCCATATGCCCAGCTGTGTATCAGCCTCGAGGTAGGGTGGAATGACAAGATGAATTCTCTCAAGTCCTGCCCGCTGTTTTATCTAATTCCTCCCGTAATCTGCTGAGCTCACAGGCCCTTTGCTTTCTGAGGTGTATAAGCATAGGGGCCCTGAGTTCTTGCTGCTGCTGGCTCTCCACAATTCCTGCCTCTCTTGTTGCAAGTGGCTGGTGTTATTAAAGGGCTGATTGCCTGAAATCTGTCTCAGGGCATCTGTCTGCCGAATCTACACAGAATCTTTATTATTTAAAGCAAATGGAATTACATGTTATTTGCTCTTTTTGTTTTTGTTTGTTCCTTTTGTGTGATATATTTGAGTTACGAGCCTGTGGTTTCTGCTTAGCTGGTGCTGAAGAGTCAGCTGTGATTGACAGGAGACACGAACCACTTACATGAAAGCTTAGCTTTCCTGTGTCAGTTGATGATTACCCTAACTTGATAGTTACATGTTGTATGCACAGTTGGACAACTGTATAAATACTATATCAGAAAACAAGCAAAAGTGAGCAAATAAAAGAGAAGAAACAAAGCATTGAGCACGGCATTTAAGCTGTGGGAAACTTGTGAGTCAGACTTCCCATTGCTGGGCAGGCATGGCTCGCGCTGGTGAAAGGTTGCAAAAATACTCCTGATGGTTATTAAATATATTGTGTGCCATTAAAACTACTTCTCTGGCTGGGCTGTGGTGGCACATGCCTTTATTCCAACACTTGGGTGGAGACCAGCCTGGTCTACAAAGTGAGTTCCAGGACAGCCAGGGCTACACAGAGAAATCCTGTCTCAAAAAAGAAAACAAAAGAAGAGAAGAGAAAAGAAAAAAGACAAGACAAGACAAGATAAAACAATTCCTGTGCATTGGAGATTGAACTCAGGGCCTTCCACATGCCAGGCAAGTGCTGTACCACGAGATACATCCATCATTTGCTTTCTCTGTGACAATCTTCTGTGTAACTTAGACTGGCCTTGGGTTTTCCATCTCCCTGCCTCAGCTTCCTGAGGGCTGGGCTTACAGGTATGTGCTACTTACCTTGCTAGGGTTTGTGGCTCTCTATGGTGCCCCCTGAAGTCCCTTGAGGATGCTGAGTCTGAGGATAACACTGCAACTGATGTGGGAGTCAGACTCCCAGTTCTGGGGGGAGATATTTTCACCATGGTATATGGTACCTGAAGTGTGTAAATGTTACAGTTCACTCTCAGCTATTTTGTCAACTTGACACAATTTAGGCTCACCTGGAAAAGGGAACCTCAACTGAGAAAATGTTCTTACAGACTGGCCTATGGGCAAGTCTATGGTGAATTTCCTTGATTAATGATTGACGTGGGGGAGCCGGCTCACTGTGGGTGGTGATGCTCCTGGGCAGGTGGTCCTGAGTTGTATAAGAGAGCAGGCTGAGCAAACCATGAGGATCGCGCCAGTAAGCAGCACCCCTGCATGGCCCCTGCTTCCAGGTTCCTGCCTACAGTTCCGGTTCTGACTCCTTCGAGGGTGTAATGAGATGTGGAACTGGAAGCTGAGGCAAACGCTTCTCTCCCTAAGCTGCTTTCAGTGATGCTGTCTTACCACAGCCATAGGAACCCTAAGACACTCTTGTTCTCTAGAAACTCGAGAAAACAAAGCGCTTTTGCTGAGACAAGTGATAATATAACCAAGGCAAAGGTGGAAATTTGTACAGTTGTTGAAATCAGCAAAATGTTGGCCTCAGGCACAGTTTATAGAAGGAAGTTCAGAATAAATGATTATGTGTGAAGATCGCACCATTCCAGCCTGTGTCCCAAGGATGTGGTGACATAGGAGGAGACTAAGGGGTCTTCATATCTTCACATTAAAAAGAATACTGACCAGGCGTGGTGGTGCACACCTTTAGTCTCGTCACTTGCAAGGCAGAGGCAGCTGGATATCTGTGAGTTTGAGGCCAGCTACATAGCACATTCCAGGCCAGTCAAGGCTACATACTGAGACCCTGCAAAGGAATCATCCACACATTTAAATAGTCAATATTCTGGCTGTTAAATATCAGTTCAGGTAAATTAAAGTAGCATTCTTGTTTAGGAAATGATTTTAGGAGGCCAATGAGATGGTCCAGGGGGGCTTGCCGTGCAAACCCAATGACCTGAGTTCAATCCCTAGGACCACAGTTGTCCTCTGACCTCTACAGATGTGCAGCAGCACACCCACCCCTCCATCACACATGATGATGGATAAAATCAAGTTTAAAATGGGAAGTGATCTCAGGGGCTGGGTGTATACTCTGTTACTCTGTTAGAGTATACTTGGCTCAGATTCATGAGGGCCTTGGGTCAACCCCCAGCAGAGCAAAACAGAACAAAAACAACTCAAAGGAAAACAATTTTATACTGTTTATAGCTGATACTTAAATAAGTGTCAACAGGCACACAAAGCATAAGGTATGCTACAGGCAGAGACCCTGTCACGTGCGTGTGCTTTCAGTATCCAAGTCTGGTCCGAAGCTTCTCTGTACACCACATTCCCCCGTGATTTTGTAAAATGATCGTTGATGCCTGCTTGTAGAACAGCTCACGTATGCAGAAAGTCAAAGAGAATGAAGTTAAATAGTCAGCATTCTGGCATGCGTTTCTCTACCTGCCAGCCTTCTCCCCCATTTGTAAATGTTGAAACACTAAGTGTTGATTGCTAAATTTAACAAATGTTAAGAAAGATAAAACACATCCATCCTCGTGTCACCAGAGGTGACTGCTCTCAGATCCAGTGTTTAGGTTTTCCTGCTCTTATCTCTGCAGCTGACACTGGGTCCATCCGCCTGACCTCTATACGGCGGCAGGCTACTCTTATGCGTGTCCCCGTTCCCGTCAGCTTACACGTTCATCCTCTTCTCCCCTTGTTGTTCGCCTATCTATTTACTTCATTGAGTCAGACTCCTGTGTGGTCCAGGTTAGCCTAGGCTCTGCTATGTAGCCAGGTTGAGCTCTAAGTAAGGATTTCTTGCCACAGTTTCCCAAGTGCTGGAATCACAAGCTGGGTCACTACACTCAGCAAAAGACTCTACGTGCTTCTTTTTTTCTTAATTTATTTATTCTTCTCTTATATATCACATCCTGACAACAGTTTTTCATCTCTCAACCCTTCCCAGTCCCTCCCACCACATCCCTTTGGCTCCAGATCCACCCCTCCTCGTCAGAAAAGAGCAGGAATTCCAGGGATATCAACCAAACATGTCAATATGACTAGACACAAACTCTCACATCAAGACTGGATGAGGCAACCCAGTAGGAAGAAAAGGGTCCCAAGAACAGGCAAAAGAGTCAGAGACACCCCCTAACTCCCACTGTTAGGGATCTTACAAGAATACCAAGCTACACAACCATAACTTGTATGCAAAGTACTTCTTTAGTCAACACCCAGACCCAGGGCAGACTCCCCCAAACCCCAGTGCTTACCACTTGACTCTCTGGGATAGCCTCCAAGGTCTTCCAGTCCCCATTCTTGTGCTGTATGGCAGCTATAGCTGGCTGTCCAGTTTCTTCCCTTTCTACTCTTATGCAGCCTTAGAAAACCCTGAGGCCCCAGAGACCTACAACCCTTTAGTTCCGAATCCCACTACCACCTGGCTAACTAAATCTGGAAGAGGATCGTCTCCAGGAGAAGGAAACAAGCTTCCAATAGGTAATGAGTGGGAAAGCATTGGGCAATTCTTTGTGGGGTGTCTTTTGCCTCTGCTCTGAATATCTGTTCTATTAACTGAAGCCCTTTCCCCTACTGAGTCCCTCCTCCCACTCCTTGAGGTCCTGAGTCATTATTTTAATTACCCCCAAGGAGGTTTAGCACCCTGGAGGCTCTACAGTTCTCGGCTTCCCAGTGCACTGCTCAGTGATGGCCTGTGGAGTTGTGATCTTCCTGTATGGCTGGGGTAAGCTTTACAGTGGGGAAAGGGGTCTGTGGGTCGTCTCTGCATAGCAGGTTAACTGGGCACTGTTGGTCATCTCCAAGAGCTCTTAGGAAGAGTCAAGGAGAGGACAGGGGCCTGAATCAAAGGGAGGATAGGTAACTTGCCTTTGTGAGCAGCGCCTGTGTGCAGAGTAAACAACCAAGGCTCATATATAGAGGTGTATTGGACAGGACACAGAAGCCACCAGGTAGGAGACAAGGTTGGATTCCACTTCCCAGGACCTGGGTGTTCTCCAAGTCTTGACTTCCAGTAGGCAGGTCCCACTGCTATCAAGAGAATAGCCCACAATTTTAAGTCTGTATTGGGACCACATTCACATCTCATTTAAAAATCAGATTCATACAGCCCCGATTTGCAGCTTCTCTTTAGAGATGTCAGGTCTGGGTACTGAGCCTGCTCATGGATGCACCCGTAGGAAGAGCCCCCTGGCTTCTCTGTTCCCTGGTGCCTGCTGACTTCAGCTCCCCCTGAGGGTTTCAGTCTGTTTAAAAAGGGGAGTCACTTAGGGCAGGAAGGAGCATGTAGCTATTGGGTCCCGGCTCTCTAAACATCTGGACTCCAAGTTCAAATGTCTCTCTGGCACCTACTCAGACAAACATCCATTTTGGAGTGTCCTTGTTCCTGACTTTGTAAAGTAGACTCCAGAATCCAGAGACAGTTGGGAATCTTAGTGGAGCAGGGAAGAAGAAGGGTTGCTCGGGGATATGAGGGAGCAGAAAGGCTTTTGGAAAGGTAGAGACCCAGTGAGGTTTTGGGCGTAGTCATCAGAAAGGGGAGTGTGACTTAAGGACCAGGAGAGCATGCTGAGATCCTGCACACACTAGCAAGTGGCTGTAACATTGAGGGGAACTGCGGGTATAAGCCTAGCTTGTCCAAAGCTCTAGTTCAGTCTCCAGCCCTAAAAGGGGGAGTGAGCCATTCCAGGACTAACACAGTAGATGGGCTATGTCCAGATCCTGTGTCCTTTGAAATGGCTTGGAGGGGACATTTCCCTGAACTGTTGCCATCTGCAATGGAGTTTGTTCATTGTTTTGTTTCTTTGAGATGGGGTCTTGTATGTCTCTCTGGCTGGCCTGAAACTCACTATGTCGACCAGGCCAGCATGAAACTTACAATATCTTCATGCCTCTGCCTCTCAAGTGCTGAGATTACAGGCGTGAGCTATCACATATGTTGGGTGTTTTTATTGGTTTATTTTTTGTTAAGTGTTACATCTTTATTTACTTTGTGTGCATGTATGTGTGAGGGGAGTTCAGGAGTGTGGGCGTGGCATGCAGGTGAAGGTCAGAGGACAGCTTACCAAGTCAGTTCGCTCCTTCCACTATGGGTGCAATCCCTGGGATGGAATTCAGGTCATCAGGCTTGGTGGCAGGCAGCTGAGCCATCTCATTGGCCTGAGTTTGGTTATTTTTGAGGGAGGGAGAAGGATGAAGACCACACAAAGCCTGGAACCACAGTGGAGGCCCAGTGGGAGGAGACGGGGTGGTCCTCTTGTACAGGTGACATCCAAATATGGAGTGAGGTGGAGTATCAGGGGACCAGGAGGCCACTGGGGATTTGGCTACTTTGATGACTTCCAACCCTCCTGCTGTATTCCGTAGTCCTGGCTTCCTGTCATGGGTCTAACCTGGATGTGGAGAACCCCATTGTGTTCAGAGAGGATGCAGCCAGCTTTGGACAGACTGTGGTACAGTTTGGTGGATCTCGGTAGGAAGGCCCTGCCTGCTCTCTTATGCCAACTCCCTTCAGGTCATGTAGACAGGTAGCTGCTGGTGGTAGCTGGGAGAAATACACCTTGGGTGAGAGAGAAGTCCTTCCATGTCTCTTCTGGGGCTTCTGACACCTTCATTTATTGTCAATGGGCCCAGAAAAGGCCATAAACGTATAGGTAAGGCCTGGCCTTGAACAGGAGCTTTTGAACCTGTACTCTCAAGAGGCATCTCTGTGTGTGGCCAGTGTAACCACACCATACCCATACTCAATACACCCACAGTTTAGTGTTCTATTCTCAGGCTCTGAGCACTGTCAATGGTTTCACTTCTGCATTTGTGTTCTGTAGGGAAAGAATGGGACGCTGGGAGTTGGAGGTCTTAGTCCACAAAAGCCACTTCCATCTCGGCGTCTCTCTCCCTTTCTGCCCAGTGGCCACTGTGCTGTCCTCTCCTGGCATGAGCTGGGCATGTTTAAGGTTGATGAAGTTATCCCAAAAGTATTTAGAGCTTGAGGAATTGGGGGAGGGGTGCTTAGAAACTGCCAAGAGACTAGCAGACCGGGGGAAAAAGCATCTCCAATCCTAGAAAGCCCTACATTTTTAGTTTGCATTGACACCACAAATTAGATAGCTGGCCCCTCCTCGGGGAGCTCCTGCTCTCTTGTCCCAGAAGTGAGGACCAAAGGATTTCAAGTCACATGTGACACAGGTATAATCAAAGTTTGGGAAGCCAGGCAGGGAATTGCAGGCCTTGCCACAGTGGTGCTGGCAGTGAGCCAACAGGGAGCCACAGAGATCCCTGAATTCTGAATGTAGAGCCGCCTCTTCAGCCAGCTGGCAATCTGGGGAAATGAGAAAAAGCTTCCGGTACAGACTCTAGATTCCAAATGAGTTTTTTTCCTCTTTGTTTAAAAATATAACACTGGTGTGCAAATCTAAAGGGTCAACTAAAAGACACTTTTACACACGTGCTTGCTGGCACAGCTGCTGTTTAGATCAGCATGAGTCCTGTCCCAGCAGACGCACCCTACCCCACCAGACAACATCACCCAAAGGTAGCCATTTCCTCCTCACATTTATCACAGAAGTCTGTTTTTAGGCTCAGTTGGTAATTTTCTGATTTCTAAAAAGCTGTGTTTGTCCTGACTTTAAAAAAAAAAACCAACACAATGGAGTCAGGAAAAAAGGCCAAGTTCCTATAGAAAGAGCGAGGTCAGCAAGGAAGAGTCAAGTTTGCTCTTCATTTGTGTCATCGGGTCACAAACCCCGGAGACACCCAGGAGGTTTTCCTAAGGGAGCTCTTGCTCCCTCCCCCACCCCCGAATTACGGATGGCACACAGAATTGTGACTTTCTGTAAAGAACCACTCTTAAGGGAAAGCCTTTAGAAGTCCATTGATTTAAGGCTTCCTTGGCCCATGAAAAGACATCAATATTTGATTATTTTTCTTGTCTGGGTTGGGAGACTGTTGGTAGTGATAAAATGTTTCCAATTGAAAAAAAATTCCCTTGGAATATTTTACAAATAAACTATTTGCATCACTATGATGAGAATTAGATACAGATTCTGATACAATCATGTTAAATTGTCCAATTTAAATTGCTTACATATATTTACATTTTTCCAATTGTCTATAATCACTTTGCTTGTAAAGCTTATGACTTCAGGAAGTTGTTCCATTTAACTCAAGGTGATTACTTCACAGGTGGCCCAGAAGGGCAGATTCATAAAGTAATGGGAAATGTCATTTTGGTGCAAAAAAGTTACTTTGGTAAAAAAAATCCAAACTATCTATTCACTCAGATATACACATATTTGTACATTTGAAAAATATACACATACATATGCATACACATAAAAACAAGGCAGTGAGCATCCTTTGCATGCATGTGGATAAAACACAAGACTGGTTTCTAATGGCCTCTCAAGAAGCCCAGGCCTTCCCCACAAAGTCTTACTTCCTCATGGCAAGACTGTTCCTTGTACTCAGTGTGCCCCTGTTCTTGCTCTGACTGTGGATTGTGATTGCTCCTCTAGACTCGTGGTGGGAGCCCCTCTGGAGGTGGTGGCAGTCAACCGAACAGGACAGTTGTATGACTGTGCACCTGACACTGGCATGTGCCAACCCATCTTACTGCACAGTGAGTGATTATCCCAGGTATCAGGGTCCCCAGTTCTCTTAGTGTGTTCCTCTTAGCAGATTCAAGCTAAGATTATCCCCTTCAATGAAGTTATGTGGTTGAGTGTAATTATGCGTATCTGCCTTCTCAGTTCCCCTAGAGGCGGTGAACATGTCCCTGGGCCTGTCTCTGGTGGCTGACACCAATAACTCCCAGTTGCTGGTGAGTTCTCTGGGTCACAGAAAGGTCATGAGAGGCATGGCAGGGACTGGAGGAGGCTGGGGGTAGGGATGGGAGTTGGGGAGGAAGAATATGCCCTGGAAGCAATGCTCACAGCGGTGGCTTCTGTTTTCAGGCTTGTGGTCCAACTGCACAGAGAGCTTGTGCAAAGAACATGTATGCAAAAGGTTCCTGCCTCCTTCTAGGCTCCAGCCTGCAGTTCCTTCAGGCAGTCCCTGCTACCATGCCAGGTGGGTTTGTTGAAGATGAGGCTTCTGGGGAGCAGAGCTGGCATCCTGTGGTTAGAGAACAGGGCCTTCTCCTGCTCCCTTCTGAGGGTTGCTTGTGACTTAGGAGGAGCCTTGGCAAGCCCAGCAGGTGGGTGGGAGCACATTCTGGCTGGCAAAGAGGACTGGAACCCCAGCTGGTTGTGACTGGATCAGAGGATTGCTGGTGTGCTGGCCAAGCAGAGTGTGAAGGTCTCACAGTTGCTACAGGTGTCTAGACACTCCTTAGTTTTCTTCTTTTGGCAAAACCATGTCTTAAAGAAGAGAAATCTATGAGGAAGACAGTGTGGGTGGCTCCTGACTAAATCACCAGGACTCTCTCTCTCTCTCAAGTGGGGTGGGGTTGGGGATGATAGGGCTGCAGAAGGTGTAATGCACAGTTGTGGGCCTGTCAGTGTTGTTCATGGAAAAAATGGGCCTTGGTGTTGTCTCATTGAGAGTCAGTCTGCACAATGGTGGTGGATCTAGGCTCCAGCTTTTTCATGTATCCAGGTAATAGCAGCTTCCTCTGGACTTTAGCTTACTCATTGATAAAATGGGGTTAGTGTTCATATAGTTATAAAGATGAAAGGATTTAAGGTACACAAAATGATTAGATCCTGCCTGGCACATAGCATGCGATAACCCTTATTAGTAATATTCTGTCAAACAACTACATTCTCATTAAGGGGAGGATACAGACAAACTGCCTCATCGCTAACTTGTGAATGGAAACCAGGGGCCTTACAGGATGCTCAGTGAGAGCAGTGTTTTAGACTGTAGAGGCCATGATGCTACCAACAGTGAGCGTTTTAGCCCATGTCAGAGCAGCAGCCATGACACCAGCCCACAGAGGTCACTACCTATTCACAGATGTCCCTGGATGTCATAAAGTTGGCTGCCAAGAGCATAGGAGCACAAACTAGGTACAAGAGAGGCGGGTTTAGTAGAGTTAGAAAAGACTAGGGTCTTCTGTCTATCGTCTGGGACCAGGAAGCGCTGGGTACTGGCAGTGGGGGTGGGGCAGGTTTAACTGGTAAGAAAACCACTATCAGAGAGGCCCCACTGACAGAAAGAGGCCACAGAGTTCAGCCGACCTTCACCTGGTTGGTTTATTCCTTTGCCACAGCTCTATTCAGGCACTTGCTGTTGGAGAGGATGCATTTAGTCCAGCTGCAACTTGATATCCCAGAGCTGGGTGGTACCCAAAGGGGGCTTCCCCTTCTCTGAGGTGATGGGGAAGGGATAATGGGGGGAAGAGATTTGTGATAGTGGGACTGGGAGGAGAGGAGGGAGGTGGGGGCTTCGATCGGGACGTAAAGTGAATAAATAAATAAATAATGGAAATCGGGGAGGGTGAAGAAACAGAGGAGACATTTGACGGAGCTTGCCACAAACCTGATAGAAAACAAGGATGGCTACTTGATTACAGGGCTGAAAGCACGAGCAGAAACACAGGACAACGGCTTCTCAGGTGTGTGTGGGATAACGCAGTAGTGTCGACTGCGTTAGATTACTGCAACAATAAAATGAATGACTATGTGTATGAGGTGGTGAGGACAGGTCTGGGGACACACTGGGACAGGTAGCTGTTGTCATCATCATCATCATCACATGCACCAGACATCTCTCGGCCCACAGAAGAGGGGATACCCGAGACGGCGGTCACTGCAGAAGCAGAAAGGGAAGTGCTAATCCTCCACTTCTCCCAACACCCTTGAGGCTCTGGCGAGAGGAGCAGATAAAGTGGGGGATGGGGAGTCAGAGAGAGGAAAAAGCCTTTTCACTTTGATGGCACATGGGGGGTGAGCTGTAGCTTTGAGGCCTGGGTGTGACACCTCAGGGTTGTGCTGGTCAGCTTGCTCGCCATCCCATGCCTAACACAGGATGTGGGTGTTAGTGGAGGCCACAACAGGGTCTTGTACATAGCCTACGACTACAGCGTGAGTGAGAGGACAATCGGAAAGGCCCTGCTTATGTACGTGCATGCGGTATGTCTTTCTCTTACAGTGTGACCTCCATGAGGCCAGAGCTAGTATCTTTTTGAAAGTTAGGGCCTATGAGCCAGATCTTCCCAGAAACAGATTCTGAGGTTTGAGAATGTTCTTGAGAGTATTGCTGGTAAGCAGGAGGACAGCAGTCTGGGTAGAAGGCAAGTACTGGTTAGCACTTCCCTTCCCACAGTAGCATTCTCTGCAGGAAGGGGTGAGAGGCTCAGGAGTTGCCTGCAAAGTGTGCAGAGAGCTCCAAGCCTGCAGTTTTCATGTGCTGTCTGGGACCTGTGCTTGGGTGGGCTTTTTGGTGATACGGTGGCTTTTGAGTCACTCCTGTCAGGGACCCCCTCACCATATTTCTGTTAGAAACTCTAAACTGGACTTTGAAGCAATTGTTACTTTGGTCTGTAGTGGTTCCCTTTCTGGGGTGACTCTGAGTTGCATCTGGACAAACCTGTCACACAACAGCAAGGGAGTTTGGACACTAGTTGACCCCGTATGTAGTGTGTAACCCTAGCAACACACCTGTCCAGAGGGATTCTTGGAACAGGGAGAGCTATTGCTAGCCAGCTCCATGTAGCTGGAAATGAATGCCTTAGTATTGGAAGGGGAAGGACCTGGCAGCTTACTCATTACTCTCTGCTGGTGCATCCTGCAAGCCTCAAGAATTTCTGGCACATGCGGTTGTAAGGACAACAATCCTTACAGGAGGCGTCCTCTGTACTAATGTAGGTGTTCACTGTCCCCTGTGCTAATTTAGATGTTCACTGTTGCAATAATCTGGTGTGGTAGGCACGACTGTTATCCTTATCTTAGAGATACGGAAGCTGAAGTCCAGAAAAATTAAGCAACTTGCCTAAATTCATCAGCTCGGAAGTGGCCAGGAGATGACTGAGGCCCACACATGCATCTGACTCTTCTCTCCTTCACTTCAGAGTGTTCAGGACAAGAGACGGACATTGCTTTCCTGGTTGATGGTTCTGGCAGCATTGATCAAAGTGACTTTACCCAGATGAAGGACTTTGTCAAAGCCTTGATGGGCCAGTTTGCGAGCACCAGCACCTTGGTGAATACTGGACACGGTGACCTGTGGCAGGGTGACACAGATACAGGAAGGAGGCCCAGCACAGCTGGTGGGGGAAGAAGTCCAGTGGAAGAGATTGTGGCAGGGCTAAGCTGAGGGCAACATGCCAGCTCAGGGCTCATTTAAGCTCTGGCGCAAGAGGCTTTCCTGTGGCATTTCCTGTGCATCCACAAGCTCCACGCTTTCTAAAACCATCGAAAGAGCTGTGCACCATCGTGCATGCCTGCAGTTCCAGTGCTTGGGAGACTGAGGCAGCAGGGTCATGTGATCTCAGGTTCAATCGGACAATATAACATGACTTTTTCCAGACCCCACCCCCCACAGCAACCAATTTAACAGATAAATACACACCAACAGCAAAAGGATTTTTAAAAACAACTTAACACTGAAACTCACTGTAGACAATTCAAGCAAGTGAGTGAAGTTTTCCTTATTGAGTTTTCTTCATAATCAATGATATCTTTAACTTAAAGTACATGGGGGATGAATTATAAATCCAAAATTTTTCCAAGAGAAAAGGCTAATTGAAAATAACACAGGGTCACTGGTGAGCTGGCTCAGTGGGTAAAGGCACTTGCTGCACAAGCCTGAGGACCTGAGTTCTAGCCCTGGAATCTGTAGTGGGAAGAGAGAATCAACTCTTGAACGTTTTTCTCTGACCTCCACATGTACATCATAGCACAACACACACACGCATACACACACATACACCACACACACATACACACACACTCACACACCTCAGAGAAGGCATGAGAACGAAGGAGAAGGGAGGGGAGGGGAGGGCAAATGGAGGGATGAAGGAGGGAAGGAACCATGGGAATTCTGAACTGGGGCTTCCGCTGGTTTTTGCAGTTCTCCCTGATGCAATACTCAAACATCCTAAAGACTCATTTTACCTTCACGGAATTCAAGCACAGCCTGAGCCCTCAGAGCCTGGTGGATGCCATCGTCCAGCTGCAAGGCCTGACGTTCACAGCCACAGGCATCCAGAAAGTGGTGTGAGTCCCCTCCTGCCTGCTGCTGCCTCAGATGTGGTCTCCAAATCACTTCTTAATACTGAGTCAACACAGTTCTTAGTTCTTCTCTGGAGGCCACAGTAGGCTCTAGAGGACTAATGGGGAGTGAAGAGGGTGTACGCAGAGTCCTTTTCAGAGCCCACTTCCCAGATGTGAAACCAGACTCCTTTGCAGTTATTTTCCCTTTGCCTGGTTCTAGAGACCTCAACATGCTCCTTGTACGTGTCTGGTCAGCACTGGGGCCAGGTTGTCACTACAAAACTCACATGCTGTGGTGGGTCTGGCAGAGGGGGTCTGCGTGGAGCAGTGAGTCTCAGTGTCCAGGATCCTTGGTTTCCTACACACCCCTGGGATCCTTGCACACCCCTGGGATCCCTGCACACCTCTGGGATCTCTGCACAATCCTGGGTCCCTGCACACCCCTGGGATCCCTGCACACCCCTGGGATCCTTGTACACCCCTGGGATCCTTGCACACCCCTTGGCACTGCAATAGGATCATCTCAAACAAGAGATACTCTGGCTAAATGCACTCACTCTTCATTGTAGTGACTCCTGTACCTTGAACATAAGCTAGAAAACGCAAGGGGTTTAAAACCACACAGTAACGCCCCTCCTAGGGTCCTTCCTCAAGCACTCAATGCTTTCCCACTGGTAGGACCTGGGAAGGGAAATTATATGAGGCAAAGAGACAGTGGTTCACAATTCCAGGCCGATGTCCTGTATGCCAGGATGCACTGTATCTCTCCAGCAGCCCGGATCCCAGAGCTGGGCTCATCCTAGGCTTAAATTTGGATGCAGCTTGGTTCTGTCCAGTGCTGAGTTAAATTTCTTCTCTCTTTCCTCTCCTTCCTCATCTTCTTTCCTGCCTCACTTCTTTCCCATAATTTTGTATATTAGAAACAGGAAGTGGTACATTCAAATGACTCAATAAATCCCACCTGCCCGGAACAGTCCGATTCCATCCCTCGCCTTTGTGCACACTGATGGTATATGGTCACAACAGCGCAAAAATAGATTTCCTCTATTGTTAAAGGCAATCTAAATGTATACAATGTTCCGTATTGTACTATAGTCTTGACTTCTGCTTTTCAACAAAGGAGCTGAAGAAGTGGAGTTTCTATTTGCTGAATCCCCTCCTTCATGTTGGGTGCTTGTTTTTGTCAAGTGTTTTTGAAGTGTTCTGGCTTAGAGTGTGAGGCTTCCCTGTGACATTTTAAGCATTTGTTGTTAGAGCTACCAGCTGTCAGACACTCCTCCATGTTCACTGTTATGTCATCTGCCCAATGACCAGACACTGTTTCAGACACCAAATCTGGTAGCTTCAACAACATACATACTTTTTCCTAATCCAGGTGAGGCTGGCCGGTCCAGCTGTTTCTGCAGATGTTCTTTCATGTATCCAGAACCCAGAGAGCTCCTTCTTAGTGCTGGTGCTCATGAAGGACTTGGGAGAAGGGCTCATGTGGAATAGTTGGATCCATGTCTACATGTAGTCTCTTTCCGTGGGCTGTTCCTTGCACCTCTAGAAGAGTAGCCGGTCTTCTCTTGCTCTGGCTCAAAACTGTAGCTATAAGAGTGGTTGCCTGGCAATGCAAAATAAGCCACCACACTGTGAAGGATAAGCATGAGTCGAGTGGAGGCCAGGTTCTCTGTGGGAGAAGAACTACTTGGAGCCATTTTTTTAGAGAACAGTTATGGCACATTTACTATTATTTTGCTTGGAAGGAATCAGAGGCTCAGAGAGGTTAATTAGCACATACAAGGGATGTCTGACTTCAAAGCTTCTGCTCCAAACCATACTGCCTCCTAGAAATGAAGTTCATTGGTTTAGACTTTAGTAAATATCTAATATAAAATACCTTTATTATTAGTCTTTGTTTCTAGTATAGCATTCCAGAAGGGAATTCTTTCTCTTTTCCTTCCTTCCTCCTCCTTCTCCTTTTTTTGGAGTGATGACAATGGAGTTGGTAAGAATTAAGGGGGTAGGTATTAGAGTCAGGGTGAGTGTGTGTGTGTGTGTGTGTGTGTCGGTGTGTGTGTGTGTCTGTGTGTGTGTGTGTCTCTCTGTGTGTGTGTGTCTGTGTGTGTGTGTGTCTGTATCTCACTATGTAGCCGAGCCTGGTCTGGAACTCATTCTCCCCCTGCCTTGGCCTCCAAAGGCTTGGCTTGCACACCTGTGCCACCATTGACAACTCTGAATAACTTTTGCAGCATGCTTGGCATGTCCTGGACTTCCAAACATTCAGAGGAACTACAGCCTTTGCAAATTGTCTTTCCGGAATCAAGTATGTCTCAATAATCATTTCTCTTTATTCTCTGACAGGAAAGAGCTATTTCATAGCACGAATGGAGCCCGCAAAAGTGCTAAGAAGATCCTAATTGTCATCACAGATGGGCAGAAATACAGAGACCCCTTGGAGTACAGCGATGTCATCCCCGAGGCAGAGAAAGCTGGCATCATTCGCTATGCTATTGGGGTACAATCTCTTCCTCCTTGGGTTCACAGACCCTGCCTTCTCCTTTCCCAGAGAAGGTCCAGTGGACTTCTACTGTTTAGAAGCCACTCTGTTGCAGGTGGGAGATGCCTTCCGAGAACCCGCTGCCCTGCAGGAGCTGAACACCATTGGCTCAGCTCCCTCCCAGGACCACGTGTTCAAGGTGGGCAACTTTGTGGCACTTCGAAACATCCAGAGGCAACTTCAGGAGAAAATCTTTGCCATTGAGGGTAAGTGGGAACAAGCTCCAGCCGTGGAGCTGAATGAATGGCTTGCTACCCTGCAGTCCTGATTCTTATCCTTATTTACAAGTCACCCCAAATTTGCTCTATAGAGCTCAGGCCCCAAACACATTTTCCTTCTGTTTTGACTCCTCATAGCTTTGCAGAATCTAAATGACATGTTTACCCACAGGAACTCAGTCAAGGTCAAGTAGTTCCTTTCAGCACGAGATGTCACAAGAAGGTTTCAGTTCAGCTCTCACAAAGGTGAGTGGAATGTGTCTGATAAATGGGCATCGATTCTGGGCCTTCCATGGGCGGGGTGGGGCCGAGACAGATTTGTCCTTAAGCTCTCTGATTGATCATTGCTATCCACAATCTGGGGATAAAGAAGAGCAGGAGACAGCCACAGCTCTTTCACGGACCATACATTCGAATGGGTAGAGACCACATAGGGAGAATTCTCAGACTATACTGGGTATTGGGATAGAAAAATAAAGATGGTCAGATGACACTGAGAGATGGGAAAAGGCCTGTGCCGGGAAACTCTCAAAAACAATGTCTGCAGTTAGAGGGCAAAGCAACTGAAAAGGGGCTGGGGCAGACGTAAAGCTCTTGTGCTACACAAAGAGAAAAAAGACAGCGTGGATACAGCGGGAGCAGAGTGAGCAAGGGGCAGTGAGCAGCTGGAGAGGTGGGGGCCCAGAGCACATGGACCACAGAGCTAACAGTGCAGGGAACTTGTTTGAAAGAGGATCTGTCTACATCTACGTCTACGTCTACGTCTACGTCTACCTAGAGCATCCGAATAGATTTTTTCTAATAATTTGGGGTTGAGCAGAGTATAGCAGAAATGAAACCAGGTTGAACTGGTCACAGGAGCTTGGCCGGTCATTAAACACTTCTTTCTGTGTTTTTTAATTTTTCTCAGTTCTCTATAATCAAAAGTTTAAAGGTGTAAATAAGAAATGTTGGGAAGCATGAGGTAATGGCGCCCGAGGGCACTGAAGATGGGGTTGACTTTGTTATAGAGGAGCTCAGAGAGGATGGGGGGTGAGGATGAACGTCCCCTGTGTTTGGGAACAGAGATAAACGGCCAGGGTTCAATTGGGAAAGGACTCAGGTGACATTCCAAGGAGACTGATGGTAGTTTCCCAGCAGAATGGTACCTACATATTGGGTTTGAGCAGGCCTGATCCTGGTGTGGGAGAAGGTAGAACACATGCCAGGAACCGAGGAGGCAGGAGAGGCAGAAAGGAAGCAGAGCTGACAAGGGCAAGGGCAACGTATGGAGAGACAGGAGTTAAAGTGCAGACACTGCCGGTGAAAACTAAGGAAGAAAATGAGGAGAGGTGTGTGTGACAGCCTTCTCTGGATTAGGAAAGCATCCTGCTCCAGCCTGTCCCAGCCTGCTCAGTCCTGGAAACCTTTCCTGCCAGGATGGACCAGTTCTGGGGGCTGTGGGAAGCTTCAGCTGGTCTGGAGGTGCTTTCTTATACCCACCAAATATGAGACCCACCTTCATCAACATGTCTCAGGAGAATGTGGACATGAGAGATGCTTACCTGGGTAAGAAGAGGCTGTGGGCGAGAAGGGCGGGACGGGCTGCCTGAAGACAGGACAAGCCTTGGTGCTGAGGTCTGGGCCCCTCAGGTTACTCCACCGCACTGGCCTTTTGGAAGGGAGTCCACAGCCTGATCCTGGGGGCCCCTCGCCACCAGCACACGGGAAAGGTTGTCATCTTTACCCAGGAATCCAGGCATTGGAGGCCCAAGTCTGAAGTCAGAGGGACACAGGTTTGTACGGAAGAAGCCAGAGTGGAGTGTGAGCGTGGGCAGTATGGTCAGGGTGGAGGAGAAGGGGATGGACGGGCTTTGGGGCCTGTGGAGGAGGTCGTGGTACTGGGAGAGAGGCAGGGCCTGTCCAGAGGAGGCGTCTTTAGATGACTTCAGGCTCGGCCCCCCCAGATCGGCTCCTACTTTGGGGCATCTCTCTGTTCTGTGGACATGGATGGAGATGGCAGCACTGACCTGGTCCTGATCGGAGCCCCCCATTACTATGAGCAGCCCCGAGGGGGGCAGGTGTCGGTGTGCCCCATGCCTGGTGTGGTAAGTGGTTAAGGGTGCTGGCTGGTGGCATCTGGGTATGGATGGAGGTCTGCCCAGGTTGGGCCTGACCCTGCCTTTGCTCTGCAGAGGAGCAGGTGGCAGTGTGAGGCCACCCTCCATGGGGAGCAGGGCCATCCTTGGGGCCGCTTTGGGGCGGCTCTGACAGTGCTGGGGGACGTGAATGGGGACCGTCTGGCGGATGTGGCTGTTGGTGCACCTGGAGAGGAGGAGAACAGAGGTGCTGTCTACATATTTCATGGAGCCTCACGACTGGACATCACTCCCTCGTCCAGCCAGGTGAGGCCTTGTCAGTCTGTTCTAGCTTCTCCCTCTCTATGTCTTGGGTTGGCTAAATTCAGCCTCTGAGTTCTGGTGAGAGTGGCTATTGCTTTTCTGTGTGTCTTAGTAGCCCGTTTCCCTGAACTAAGTATGAAGCATGCTTGCATCCACACAACCTCCACTCCATTATGGACAGCTTTCTGAGTAAGAGACTAAGCATGGACATCAAAGTCTTGAGTCAGATCCCTAGCAATAGCAGCCTCCGTTTGCTGTGTGTTCTTTGTCTAAAGGATTGACATACATTCTGCAAGCTTTAGTGGGTTTTTTTTTCCTTTTTTGTTTGTTTGTTTTGTTCCTTCCTGAAAAGAGAGCAGTGAGTGCATTAAGCACTCCATGTACTAAGTCTTTTCTGGGTGACTGAACAAGTGATGAACAGATAAATCTATTTCAATTCTGTGGCTGTGGTTCTGTATCATTACTGCTTGTGCCCTCAGGACGACAAGCTGGACTTATAAGAAAGTCCCCTTACTTTGAGCGTCTCCTAAGATTCTCCCTGCCCCCACACTGCTTGCTTTAACTCCAGATCCTTTTTTTTCTTACTCTCCCAATCTCTGGATGCCATCATCTATTGGTTTTTATTTTTCATTCCCTTCTTGATCAGCGGGTCATTGGCTCCCAGCTCTCCCTGAGGCTTCGATATTTTGGGCAGTCATTAAGTGGGGGTCAGGACCTCACACAGGACGGCCTGGTGGACCTGGCTGTGGGAGCGCAGGGGCACGTGCTGCTGCTCAGGTGAGAGGTCACCCACCCGCCACCCTTGCCCACTGTGTCCACTTGTCCTGGCCCTTTCTCAGCATTGTGTCGTCATCATCCTTTGTGTGCCCAGGAGTCTGCCTTTGGTGAAAGTGGAGATCTCCATAAGATTTGCCCCCATGGTGGTGGCAAAGGCTGTGTACCAGTGCTGGGAAAGGACTCCCACTGTCCTTGAAGCTGGAGAGGCCACTGTGTGTCTCACTGTCCACAAAGGCTCACCTGACCTGTTAGGTAAGTGTTTTCTTAAAAGTGGGTCCAGCATCACCCTGTTAGAAGCTTCTAAGGCTATGTTCAGGACGGACCAAGCCCAGGAACACAAATCTCTCAAAACCCTTCCTCAGTTGCCTGAATCAGTCCTGAATCTTTTCTTTACCTGTTTCATCCATCCAGGCTCTGGGCTCCTGTCCAGGAAGACCTGCAGCCTGTTTCCTCTCCTCGCTGCCTCAGCCTCTGTCCCTGCTTAAGCTACCACCTTTCTGGCTGTGTCCAGCAAAGCAGAGACTCTCTCAGTGGTCCTTACACCTATTCTTATACCGTCTCACCCACTGTCTGATGAGAAACCAGCTTGATTCCAAAATGTGAGACTAGCCTTCTCACTCTAACCCTTAACCCCCTTAAACTGCTTTTAAGTTATAGAAACCCAAATCCTTTCCTGTAGTTCCATCCCAGCTTTGGTCCCTCCTTGAGTTTATCCTCTTCCACCTCAGTCTATCCTCTTCCTACACGTGCTTTCATGAGTGTACCAACATAATCCTCCCTGGGAGTCTTAGGTCTACTAAAATTTGGGGACATTCTTTTTCCCATACTTCATTCATGGATCATGTGTTTAGCTCCTTTATTAGACTGAGATTCGTGAGTGAAGAGACAGTCTATCTATCTGTCCATCTGTCTATCTATCTATCTATCTATCTATCTATCTATCTATCTATCAATCATCTATCATTGTCTCTCTAAGTGTAGTCCCAAAACTTGATGCAGTCACGGAAAGTGCCCAACAAGAATAAACAAATAAATGTAAACAGGAAGTTCTGGGTTCTAGTTGTTTGTTGCATTTTTCCTTTCTCCTTTATTTCAGGTGACATCCACAGCTCTGTCAGGTATGATCTGGCGTTGGACCCGGGCCGTCTGATACCTCGTGCCATTTTTGATGAGACTAAGAGCTTCACTTTGACTCGAAGGAAGACTCTGGGGCTTGGTGATCACTGCGAAACAATGAAGCTGCTTTTACCAGTGAGGATTAGGGTTTGGGGAAATCCAGGGGTCAGGACTGGTGGGGGAGGAGCCAAGACTAGTGTGTGACAGAAGAATGAGGACAGTGAAGCCAGAGAGAACATGGCTGGGAGGACAGCCTGGCTCCTTAGCCTGGATGTAGTGCTATCTGGAGGCATAGGAGGAGGAGCCCACGATGAAGGGGAAGACTGATGGTGGTCCTTCAAGTTCCTTCTTCCTCAGGACTGTGTGGAGGATGCTGTGACCCCTATCATCCTGCGCCTCAACTTTTCCCTGGTAGGAGACTCTGCTTCATCCATGAACCTTCGTCCTGTGCTGGCTGTGGGCTCACAAGACCACATAACAGCTTCCGTGAGTAGCTTCAAATGGAGTCCCAGGCACAGGATGGTTACATTGTGTCTCCTCATGCTTAACAACTCATAGTAGATCCTCATTGTCAACCACAGGCAACAAATCCAAAATGCCCCCTCAGCTTCTAAGGCCCAGTATAGCTCGTACCCTTGCACCCACCCAGCTAGTACCTTTATGTCTGGACATGAACACATTCTACACACTGTCTCTCTTCACCCATACTGACCTCCGAGCCTTTGTCTGCTGTGATTCTCCTTTTAAAACCATTTCCTTCTCCCTGTCTGAAGTTAAGTGCCAACCTCAACTCCTGATCACACCTGGTGTCTCCCACCTACCACATTTTCTCCAGCTCCCAAGTCTTCTTTGACTATCCCATTTCAAAGCAATGTCACTAAGGACAGAAACACTGCATTTGCATTGGTGGCTGACGTGGACCCCACATTTCTTGAGCATTGTAGCCATATCTAAGTCACCTGAAGTTTTTTTTTTTTTTTTTGTTTTTTGTTTTTTTTTTGGTTTTACGAGACAGGGTTTCTCTGTGTAGCCCTGGCTGTCCTGGAACTCACTCTGTAGACCAGGCTGGCCTCGAACTCAGAAATCCACCTGCCTCTGCCTCCCAAGTGCTGGGATTAAAGGCATGCAACACCACTGTCTGGCTCACCTGAAGTTTTCACTTCCCCAAACTTCCACCCAGTGGAAAACTTGTGTCTATGATTGGCATTTAGAACTGTCTGCTGCGTAGCTGCTGTGGTGCATATTGGACTCGATCCAGCTAAGGCTTGCTGTGGTGAAGTTGAGACCTTCAGCCTATGTCCGTTCCTTGCTCGTGTCTATGAGAACCGTGGGAAGAGAGATGTGCTAAAGTCCAACGAGGTCGGAGGCTCATCTAGACTTGGGTGCTAAAGGAGCAAACCATCTTGTTTCAGCTTCCATTCGAGAAGAACTGTAAGCAGGAACTCCTGTGCGAGGCGGACCTGGGCGTCAGCTTTAACTTCTCGGGGTGAGTGTGGTCTCCTTCCATGTGCTGAAACACTTGACCCCCGATTCTCTAAGAAAATGAATTCTGTTGGAATACTATCAGCACATGGTTCAAGAGTTCCCGCCATCTTGCCTCTGCCCCGATCCAATTTCCAACTTGTCTCCAATGGAGTCACCCCATCAGGCTTGACCTTTCTCCTCAGCCTGCAGGTCTTGGTGGTGGGATGCTCCCCAGAGCTCACTGTGACAGTAACGGTATGGAATGCAGGTGAGGACAGCTATGGGACTTTAATCAAGTTCCACTACCCAGCAGGGCTGTCTTACCGACGGGTAACAGGAGCACAGGTAAGCCGGTCCCCTGGACTCTACTGGACAGTTGGGGCCTTTTTTGTTCATGATACCAAGATACCACTGAATAAGTTATAAAGAATTATTTTGAAAAGAAATACTAAAGGATAATGATTTTGGCTTATGATTCTGGAAGTGCAAGCCTAAGAGATGCATCTGGTGGCAGTCTCAAGGTAGAGTCTCAAGGCAGTTCAAGGAATATGGCAAAGACATCTGTGGCAGTTTTCTTTCCTCTTCTGTCATGTGGTCCTACATTAATGACCTTGTCTAATTTTAATCACTTCCCAAAGACTCCACTTTTTTTTTTTTTTTTTTGAGAGAGGGAGAGGGGAGAGGAGAGGGAGGGAGGAAGAGGGGAGAAGAGAGGAGAGGAGAGGAGAGGAGGGGAGGGGAGGGGAGGGGAGGGGAGGAGAGGGAGGGAGAGAAAGTGAGAAGGAGAGAGAGAGAGAGAGAGAGAGAGAGAGAGAGAGAGAGAGAGAGAG